CCCCAAAACCCCAAAACCCCAAAACCCCAAAACCCCGTCTGAAAGATGAAGAATTGAAGTTATGTTATTCTAAAAAGAAATTGGTATGAGACATTAAGTCTCCATCCATCGCATCGTTGAATTCATTGATGAGATTATTCGTGTCAGACCTCAATGCCATATACTTGAAGTATACAATCCTCATTTCTTTAGGTATCTTGGCGAGTTTCTGACGCAATTCACAGTACTTTTTGCGGATTATCTTTCTGTGAAACCATTTCTCTATTATGAGGACTGCCTCTCTCTTCTTCTTTTTCAACTGGGTCATTTCTCTTTGCTTACGGATGAATTCAATCTGTCTCTGCCTTTTAATATCTTCAACTGAGATCTCTTGTGTAATTTCAGGTACAGTTTTTGGTTCTATAGGTTGCTTAGCTTTTAATTTTTGCTTTGATTTATATAGTCTATATCTCTTTTGGATGATTTTTGCTGCCTTTTTAACTGCCCTAAAATACTTTCTTGCTTTATAGCCTTTCACCAAGGCTAGTATATGAGCTTTTGCACATTGGATACGCTCAAAAATGCACAGAATTTTCTTCCTACCAATGAACTTTTCCAAATGTTGCTTAACTCAGTCAACAGATTTGTTGAAATCTCTATCAGATTGCTCAAAGTCATCGATAATTAATGTCTTCTTGTCCTCCCAAGCCCCCATGGGGCTTGGAGAGGCCTTACAAGGAAGTTCACAGTTAACAATGCTTGTTTCTAATGACTTTAAGATTTGATCTTCTCCAGACAATCCTTGAGGCTGCTTTTGAGAAATCTTACACATCTTCTTTGACAAATTCTGTCTATTTTTGGCAGCCTTCTTAACCGGCTTTCTTCTGGACATAAAATAGCTTGACGGCATCTCTTTATTCTATAATGTAAGCAGTCTGCTTACATTTTTTGAAATAATTTTGGAAGCAATCATCTTGTTATGCTCTAGCAAAACAATGCTGCGGCGTGACTGAGGTTTCTTTTTATTCCGAAAATCTCAGGAGATTTTCTTTTTAAATATTTTTGCCTTAAGCATCGAGTTTTTCGAAGTGTTGGTCCTCCGGACCAACACTTCTTCGAGATGCTTAGGTCTAAAGTGTCCAAAATAAAATTTACTGGGAGTGTATCTGGAATCTTTCCATAGACTTTTCCCTGGTCTTAAGGTTTGTACCTCGACTTTCACTGTTGTTTTGCCTGAGATTTCTGACGCGAGAATGAACTGAATTGTCTAATCTTGATAATCCTGAGAGCTTTAAGATCTATATTTATCTAGTACTACATACCTTGGAGTAATTATAATCAGAAGTAGCTACATCCGGGGTTGGTTTTACTTCTCTCTTCTCCATTTCTTCCAATCTTCTTTGGATCTCAAGTTTGCGTTTACCTTTTGCATTGAGTAATTGCTTTTCAAGGAGAAGTTTTAGTTTCATCTTAGCACGCTCGTGGTCGATGGGGTCTAGCTCTAATTTCATGTATCCCTTGGTGGAAGGTCTCTTTTTGGCAGCATTCTCTCAGGAATCAAAAAATTTCTGTTTTGAATTTTGCCTTGACTCGTTAAATGAACTATCCTCTTTATTTGTTCAGACGGTTGTTGATATTTAAAAGTTCACTTCTGAGACTTGCTAGTTTGTCAAAGGTTGTTCCAGAATATTGATCAATTTCTTCGAAACTTGTACTTTCTAGGTTCTTTCTGGGCTCCATTCTTGTGTTTATTGGCCTTTTCTCTTGAGCACGTATTGGGTGATGGCTAGTTATTATGCATCTTTTCTCTAAAAAAATGTTGAAAGGATAGCAAGATAAATTACTGGAGTTGTTTAGTCTTCTCTTGGACATCTTAAAATTGAAACCTTGAGGATTAGTCCCATAAAACTTATGTCTCAGCATTCTTTGATTTAAATAATTTTTAAACTAAATTTTATATTAAATCTCCTAAATGGGGTTTTGGGGTTTTGGGGTTTTGGGGTTTTGGGG